CGGGGCGCCAGATACTCCCTGCCCGGCTCCGCAGCCGTCGGGGCTGCACACCTCTGCCCCCCGCCGGAGCCGGAGGGAGCGGTGCGAGCCGGGGACCCCGCCCCCCCTCTGGGTCCCGCCCCTCGGACCCACTCGGGGTTACGGGCTCTCAAGAGATCGTCTGCATTGGCCCGGGGACTGGTGGCTGGAGCCTGGGGTCCTGGAGAAACTTTTCAGCGCCAAGAAACAGGGGCGCTGAAAAGGTTATTATGGGGTGTCGGTGACGGGACGGATGCCTGACCTCTCCACTGCCCGGCAGCACCTCTGTTTCTGTCCCTAACTCTGTCCGCCCATCGCTGATCTTCCCTTCCCGCTGCGTGTCGGTGTAGACAGACGGCAGGACTGCGGTGGGAGCAGGACTGCGGTGGGAGCGGGCCGGGGGCGGTCCCCTGCCCAGCGCCCCGCTCCCCGCTGCGAGGCGCGCTGCGGAAACCCGGTCGTCGGGTGGGGGCGGCCTGGCCTCCTGGGCGGGAGCTGTCTCGTGGGGCGCCGCGCCGCCCCCTCCACCTGTGGCTCCCATCACCTGTGGCTCCCGGTCTGCGGTCAGGATCCTCTGCCCGCCCTGGGTCTGAGAGGGTCACACCCGTCCCCGGTCCACCTTTGGGCTTCCAGGCAGCCTGGGCTGGCGTTTCCAGACCCTTCCAAGGTTTCCTAGTCTGACTCGACCTGGATGTATTTTTCCACCTCTGTCTCAGAGGCCCCTGGGGTGTGGCTCCCGGGGCGGGGTTTGGGGGAGTAGGAGGATGCACAAAGGTTCTGAGGCAGAACCCACCCTCTCCCAGCCCAGAGACCCCTGCCGCCTGCCCCTCATCTCACGGCTCCCCTTCCCCTGGCCTCTGCCCTGAAGGAGGTGAATGGGGAACAGTGAAAGAAACGAAGCCTGTCTGGCGGGAGAGGGGGGCAGGGGTGGGGGGGGTGCTGGGAATCAGTTCACGCCCAGGTGAAGCTTCATCTGGGCCTCCTGGCCGACTGCCCTCCTGGCAGGCATTGCCCACTGACCTCTGGGAGCTCCCTAGATCAAGGGCACCCCACACTCCCCCTCTGCCTAGCTTTAGCCCTAGATCCACTTCTATGGAAAGTTTCCAGTGCCCTGCGGTCTGTTGACCCTGGGCCTGTCTTTTTGCCCAGAGGTTCCCTAGTTTGTGCCTGAGCTTCCTCACTTACCCAGGTGGGCTCTCCTGGGCAGGCTGAACAGAGACCTGGTTCTGCCTCTACCCCTCCCACCCCCCATCCGCTCCCATCGCCTAAAGACCTGGTTATTCCTGGGTGAGCGCCAGCCCCTGGGTTAAACCCCATGAGATTTCAAAGGAAGAAGATGGTCCCTTATGTCGGATATGGTCTCTAAACACTTCCCACTTCAGCCCTTGTGGTTGCCCTCAAGTTTCCTGTGCTTGGTTGAGTCAGAGTGTTTTCATGAGGAAGGGCTATGCGGTGTATTGCTGATGTTGGGGCTCCGGTGGGGCGGACCAGGGGATGCGTGGGAACCAAGTGGGCAGAGGAGGTGCAGCTCCTTATATCTGATCACAGCCTCTGGCCAATCAGCTTTCATCCCCTCTGCTGAAGGGGAAGCTGAGGCCCAAAGGAGAAGTACCATGCTTAGTAGACCAAGGAGCGGTAGAAAGGGACTTTGCCTAGTCCCTGAAGATGGTCAGACTTAGACCTGGCTGGTACTGGGGGACCCCCCCAGGAGAGCTTGGGCGCTTGGGTTGTGAGGAGCTTGAACTCAGATCTTTTTGCCATCATGTGTTCCTCTGAGATCACCTTATTCTCCACCCCAACCCCACCAAAAAAAAAAAGGAAGAAAATAAACTCACATTAGCCTGGCTTCCCTTTGAACTGCCGGAGGCTCACTCTCAGACACCCCCTCCTTTCTCCCACCCCAGGCGTTCGGAACGCATCTGGGTTGTACTCACTGCTGTGCAGACCTGCCATTGAGGGTTTCTGGCCACCTCGCGGGCACATGGCAGGAGCCCACACTGGTGAGGTGGAATAGCCAGGCTGGGGAGACTTGCCATTTCTGCAAGTCCCTTTTCTCCTGGGCTGGGATTTCTGTCTGTAAATTGGAACTAGGAAGACCTGGAACCCGGTTTCTAAGGGTGAGAGGTGGGCCCGAGGCCGCCGACACTGACCCCACACTGGGGGAAGACCTGGATCCTCAGGGGACAGAATTTGCAGCCCAGAATCCCAAGGAATGACAAGACTAGAGCCTGCTGGGCTGGACAGAGCTGGTACTCAGGACAGCCACCATGCGCCGCCGCCACCCTCCCTCCCTCCCTCCTTCCTCCTCCTCCTTCTTCTTTCTCCTTCTCCCCCACCCAACGCCACCACATTTGGAAGGGAGGCGAAGGGAACTTATTTATAAAAGTCACACTTGGGGAAGGAGCTGGCACAGTTCCTGGGCGCTATGCAGGCCCTGCCCGGCCCTCCAGGCTTCTCCAGCCCCCACCTCACCGGGGGCCTGTTCTTGCCCTTGTGCAGATGAGAATGAAGAGGATCCTCAGGGGCTGATGTGGGGGCCTCAGTGCTGTAGACAGGCCCTCAGAGATCAGAGGGGCAACCCTTCAGGGTGCAGGTGGGAAATGGAGCCCTTAGAGGGGTCCTGGGCCACACAGACAGGGAGAGGCTTGGATGTCCCCAGGCAGTTCCACTCTGGTATGTAGCTACCACCCCCACCCCCCAATTCCGAGGCCTCCTTTTTTTTTTTCTAATTTTTTTTTTTTATTGAGAGGTTTTCACTATAGGGCGCGTGCGCTTGCCAGACAGACAGAGAGAGACATAGAGACAGAAAGTGAGAAATCACCCCCCAGGGGGGATGGTCACGCTGCAATCCCTTCTCCTCCATTCTCCTCTCGGGATCTTGGGCACACACGCACACGCGCCTGGCGTGAGTTTTAAGCCACCGGGTCTGGGACGTGAACCACGGTCAACTACGTGGGAATCCAGTGACATAGCCATTACGCCAACTGCTGGTTCCCGAGGCCTCCTTGATTTCCTTTATGGGAACTTCCTGAGCTGACCCTCTCTAGGCCCAAAATGTTTCTCTCCATACTGGGCCGTGGCAGACACTGGTGACAATTGGAGCGGCCTGACCCTGGAGGCAGAGAACTTGCGATGGCGCCGCAGGAGGAGTGGAATTTGAATAGGTGATCCAAAAGGAACCAGCTTGAGTCAGAGCAGAGAGGCTGGAATGTCCAATCAGGAGAGAATAGCTGGGGTCCTGACACATGGCCTTTCAGGGCTCCCTGAAGTCTAGAATGGACCAGCTAGGGCAGGCCTGGGTGGGGAAGCCCAGTGCCCCTGTTTGCCTACCAGTTTCCCTGGTTGTCTCGTTGTAGGAAGAGACTGGTCAGTAGACAAAACGGTGCAGGTTCATTCTTATCTCTGCTCATTTCGTCATCTGGAAAGCGGAGCCAGTGTTATTTGCCTCACAGAGGATGTAATAGGTGTAGTGGGTCAGCTCCGTGGTGCAGTAACATGCTACTCAGGAGAAATCTCACATGGTGACCACAGTTCGAATCCTAGCCCCGTCAGCCCGAAACACACCAGGCACTTGCCTGAGTGCCCACAATCCACTGGGCTGGAGACTTAAAAGAAGAGGGTTACGGCGTGACCAGATCCTGTGGAGGGTACTGCTGAGTGCCATTCCACATGAGTGCATTCTGTCATGAATAAAGGAAAAACAAAAAATAAAAAGGAGAGACATAGGGCAGAGTCTCCCTCCTTCCTGCCTATTACTTTTTGGGGTTTCCCAGAATAGACAATGGAGCTGAGCACATTTTCATCTTGGGTGAATGGCTTTCCAGGACCATCTAATCCAGTCTCCTATTTTACAAATCAGAAAACTGAGGTTCAGGCCGAGCAGGTGTGTGGTGGTGAAAACAGCTGGATGCCATATGGCCTACTGCTTGGTTCAAGTCCCAGATCCGGCAGCTTGAAAAACATACCTGGTGTGTGTGCCGGCATGCCCAAATCCTAAGAGGAGAGTGGAATAAAAGGAAACATGGTATGGCCATCCCCCCTGGGGAATGCTTTCTCACTTTCACTCTTTCTCTCTCTCTCAATTGAGCACACACGCCCTATAGAAAAGTATAAAAAAAGGGGGGTGGGAAACTGATGTTCAGAGAGGGCCAAGGGTTTATCCAAGGTCACAAAGTGCCCTTGGGCTGAGCCCAGCCCCTCTGCATGGCCTACAGCTGCCCCCTGAGCTGGTCTGGGGCCCTGCTGAGGGGCAGTCTCTGCTGAGCAGGGACCTGATGTAGAAAATGCGGAGAGTC